TACTGCAGGTGAAATATTAAGTGCTAAAATTACTCCTAAATCTGGACATTTTTCGGATATTCTTTCTGTCCCAGAGAAAGATGTTGAAGAGTGGATGGTTAAAGGTCATTTGAAGCTATCTAGTGGTGATAACTTGACGCGAGAAACTGGCAGTAGGAAAATTAAATTACTTAAGATGCAAGCATTTCAAGATAAAATTGGTAATTTAATTTTATATATATATATAAAGCTCTTTGCATGCAAATGGTGGTAATTAATTAATTAATTTTATTTATTACATTGAAAATTTAGTTATGCCTGCTTTTGGTGTTGTTAATCTTATTGAACCAGAAGGAGTTTCTGTTATTTCAGTAATTATCTCTAACAATCAAAAATTTATTCATTATTTTAATTATTTGATTATTCAATTAATTTTATTTTTTTAGGATATTGATGATACCATTAAAGATACAGAGATTTTGGATGGTGTGAAAGTGATACTTTCCAATACATTTATACGACCATTTAAAGATGTGGGTCCTTTTTTAAAGTTCAGTCTATTTATTTTTATTTTATTTTCATTCAATAATAACACAATTTATATTAAAAAAAAGGTTCCTGGAATGGCTGAACTTTATTGTAAATGGGTATGTAAATAAATTATGGATTGTTTAGTTTTTTTTTTTAAAAGAATTAAAAATTATTTTTTTGTATAACAAACAAAAAGTATGATAGAGGAGTTGGCATTCATTATGTATCCAATTCACCTTGGCAATTATTCCCAGCATTACGTTCCTTTTTCAACACTTATAATTTCCCACCTGGATCTGCTCATCTTAAATTCTATGATGGGTTGATAAAAAGTGCAGTAGAACAAAAAGAAAATCCAATGGCAAGTAAATTCATGTACATAAGAGAATTATTAAAGGTTAGTCAGCTAGTAATATTTATATATTTGCCTAATATTTTTAAAGAAAAAAAAAATGATATTAATTTGTAAAAAGCTTTGATATTTATATTATAGGATTTTCCAAAACGCAAATTTATTCTTATTGGTGACACTGGTGAACTTGATCCAGAAATGTAAATTGATATTTTTTATTATTATTTATTTATTTATATATTTATAAATATATCAATAGTTTGTTTTCTTAAATATTAGTTATGTTACAATTGCAAAAGAACATCCTGATCGAATTATTCGAATATTTGTTCGTGACGTAACAACCTCACGTGTAAAAGGTCTTCCACCACAAAAACCAAAACATTCTTATGCTAAAACTTTTACAGGAATTTATAGCAAACTTCGTGATTATTACATGGAAGAAGATGATAAAAAACTAGAAAATAATGTTACACCACAAAATTCTGATAATAGTGATAATAGTAGTTCAAAACAAGAAGAAGGAGATTTATTAAGTCCAGGAATGACAAGTAACATTGCTGAGAGACTTCAAGGAGGACTTTCAAATCTACTCAAAACTTCAACTCCAGATACATCTAAATCTACAATGCCTAAACCTCCATCAGAGGTTAAATTGCCATCAACAAGTGCAACTTCCCCCACAAAAACTGAATCACCTTCACCTGAAATACTTAAGACACCTTTAGAAATGTTCCATGAAAGAATTGAAAAGTTGAATCAAGGATTGCCTAAAGGATTATTTTCACTTTTTACTGATTGTAAAGAATTGGATGAAGATCCCATTATTCTAAATGCATTAAATTCATAATTTGTTTCTATATGTATATTCTATTTATAAAAATTTATTTATTATTTGTTTATTTTTATTTAAAAAATTACATATAAATTTTATTGTATAAACAAGCAATTCAAATAAAGGCAATGATTAAAAATGGGGTATACTGTAACAAAACCAGACAAAGTGAACATTGGTATTACCAAAAATTTCAGGGATCAAAATTTGTAATGTGGTTATTAAAATCTCCTATTTGTTCCTCTTAATATTAGGTGATATATAGAATTACCTCTAGATAAAAATAGTTAATATGAAGCTAATTTATATCAGATCTACTATGGAACCCAAGAATTATAGTACTATCAGAAGTATTTTGAAGAAAGAGCAAGGTGAAAAAATTGCTCCTTACATTTTTAAAATAAATGATACTCAGACACTGGAAACTTATCTAAGAAAAGAAAGGATTGCCTATGAAATTTACCAAGAAGAAAGAAAAATAATAAATGTTGAAAAAAGAAAGCATCATGATGATACATTATTACCTAATAAAAAGAAAAATCTTTAAAAGGAAAATAAATACCATTTTCTTTGATAATTGGAATGAATTTCAATTTATACAGAGAAAAATTTCCTTAATCTTCTTTTAAATTACTTTTTTATTTTCGATCAAGGTCATTTTTTAACTTCAATTTGAGCAACTAATTGACCATTTTGTTGTTGTAATTGTGCTAATTGAACTTTTAACTTGTTGATTTCTTTTATTAATTCTTGATTAGTTAAGCCTTTTAGTTTTTCATTTTCTGCTTCTAATTGTTTAATCCTATCTAGCAATTCTTGTTTTTGCCTCTTGCTTCATTCTTCAGATTTCTCCTGAAACTTAACTACTTCTTCCCTTTCGATTTCTAATGCTTCTTCAGTCTTGTTTAGTTGTTCTTGTAAGGAGTTTATTTGCCTTTCATAAAAAGCAGACTGACTTACTTCTTCATCAGGTAAGAGAGGGAGTTCCTTCTCTTCCAAATCCTCATTGTTTCTAATACAGTAGCAAACATTCTTACCAGTAGTAATATCAAAATCTAACTTGGTTTGCAATCTACCACATCTATTACACTTTAACAATTCATCATTTCAATACTTTTCTTCACACCTTTCACAAACCATGTCATCTGAAATTCATTCCCCAGTTACTTTGCTACGAGCTCTTATTTGATGAATGGATTTATTATTTTTGTTTTCAAACTTAGAGCAGAAATCACAAGTCTTTTTGTTTTCTTTTTCCAATTCTAAAACTGTGTATTCCAGTTCTCTCATTGCAATTTACTTGTTATTTAGACTTAACCTCTACTCGAGCAATCATTTCTTGGTTGTGAGATTTTTCCTTTTTGATTAACTTTTGTAAATGTTGAATCTTAACTTTTGCTTTTGTTTTTAACTGCTTAAATATGCTCTGTTTAACTGAAGTCTTGTCTTCTTCTTCTATAGGTAAGGCGGGTAAAGGTTTATTATCTAAGTCGATCAAATTCCTCAAATTTTCATTTTGTGTTTCACTATCAGTTAATTGCTTGCTTAGTTTTTCTATTTTTTTGCTCTTTTGACTTGATTCTTCCTCCAACTTTTCAACTTGGGCTTCAAGATGAGAAATCTTTTTACTAGCACTATTGAGTTTCTTGTTTTTTTCTTTTATATCTTCTGCTTGAGCTTTATTCCATTTTCCACCAACTGTTAAGATGTTCTTAACTTCCTCTCATTCCACTTGTACCTCATTTTCTAACTCCTCTACACTTGTTTCTAAATCCTTAATTCTTTCAACTTTACTTTTGATAATGTCTTTAAGAATTATATCCTTAGCTGGTCGACCAAAAATTTCACCTCCTTCTTCTATTTGAGAAAAAATATGAGCTCTTTGATTTCATAGTTTCCAATCTTTTTTCAATTCAGTGGCTAACTCAGTGCCTTCAAAGTAATCTATAATAATTCTCTCAACTATTTTTTCTAGATTTTCTTTACCTTCCCATTTGGGGCATACTGCAACAAAACCACACAAAGTGAACATTGGGATTACCAAAGAATTTCAGGGATCAAAAAATATCATGAACATAACCTATTAGTTATAAAAATGCAGAGGGAATTATTGACAGTGGAATTATCAGGATCTAATGTGTTATCATCTATGATTTCCATTATGTACTTCTAAGTCAAAATTCTATCCAGTTATGGACAAATCCTAATTGAGTGAAAGTTCATTCCCCAGTTCTGATAAATTAGGTTGAAAATTGAAAACGCAATCTTTATAATTTAATGAGATCACTATCATCAAGGATAAGTGACAAACACGTGCATTTTTTTCAAAAAATCATTGTAAACATATTTTCATCTTATTTTAATCAAAGAGGTTGAATATTATTAATTCAATTTTTAATTTATTTATCTTTCTAGAAAATGATAATAATATTATAATTATTCATGAAACTACTGCAAAGATTAATTCTAACATATTTTTTAAATTATGATAACTTGAATCATATGCTATTTAAGATCATCTCACATGGAATAAATTAAATATAATTTGACTAATATTAATACCATTTTCATATTTTCATTCTAATTGTATTTCTGCTTGATTGTGACTCTTTTATTAAAAAAAGGAAATTTTCCTTGAATCTCTTCTTGTACCAATTCAGGATTTAAAAGAAATCTTGTAAACATTGCAACCTGATGAGTGTTCACAAAGCCGGTGCTAAAGATTGATGTCAAGATTTTTTGCAGTTGATCCAAAAATAATTGTATGTGCTAAAGTCTGTTAATAAAGCTACTGGTCTTTTTGATGAATGCACATTCGAAGCAATCAATTCGGCTATTGACTGGTAGGTGTCTGATTCTTGGATAAACTGTAATAAAAGATGAAATGTAAATTAAACTGATACTGAAACTGACTATAGTTAAAGATTAAATCAAATTACTTTTTTGACTTCAATTATGAGCTCAACCGTAGCTTTTTTATAAATATTGTTTGTTTTCTTATTTATGATGAGGTCAGTTGTACCACAGAGTAAAGGAGTGTCAAGATAGGTTTTTTGTTGTGAACATCCATAATACAGGGTTGGCAAATTGACTGGTCCATTGAGAACAGATGGATTTTGGACTGGTCCATTGCCATTAATAAAATATTAAATATGGTTAAAGTGTTACACCAATGAACCCAATGGACCACCAATAGACCATCAATAGACTGCACATTTGCCAACCCTGCCATAATATCATGGTTTTTCAAAAATCTACACCAATAAATTGTTTTTGAACATAATTAATGTATAATTTTGAGGGCTATTCCTCTGTGCGGTCACTCCATGAAAATTTCTTAGGATCAGGACCAATGGTTGAAATATCATTGAATGGTATATCTTCCACCATTATTACAATATCATATATTTCAATTAATTTCTGCATTTTTGTAGAACTTATGGTGGAGATGGTGAATGTTTCATTGATTTCTTGTCTCCTTGTTAAATTCACAGTATTATTATTATAAACTTCACAAAGTATATCTGTAATTATAAAGGAAGGAAATTCAGGAATTTTTTAAAAGATATGAATGGAACAATTGAAATAAATGATGCAAAAAGGTATATTAAACAGTATACCATCACATCCTGTCAAAGCATAAATGTTCTAAATATGAAATTGATCTCACCTAATACTTGATTATAAAGTAGTGATGTAGTATTAAGACAAAGGAAGATGAGTGATTGAATAAAGAAAAAGACAAGTTAGTAAATATCACCCAAACAGATAAACAAGTTGAACATAATGAATGAATGGAAAATAAATTTATGTATATTTATCAGTATAACCCAACATTTTGTGTATGATCTCTACCCATATATTTTTTTTCTAAATTTCCTGTTCTTTTTTCTAATTTCAATGTTTTTTTATTATAAATTTTTAGTTCATCTTTCCAATTCTAAAGAGAGTGTAGAGGATAATGTTATGTAGAAAGAAAAATTTTTTTAAACAATAAATACATAGAATTAATATTTGTAATATTAATCATTGCTGAAATAAATACTTTATTGTTTATATTTATATTTTCTTTGTCATAACTTTTCGAGTTTCTCCTAATCAAGTTAAAATAATAAATATATACAATGATGACACATTGCAACGGTCGTAACCGCCATCACCATTCTTATATGGCAACAACCACCATTCCTTTTACTTTTTCTCATTTTCCTTAAAATTTTCGATTTTTTTCAATATAAAATTTTTTTTTCATTAATCCTTCAAACAATTCAAACTTACATCACAACCTGGTCACTTCCACCCCAGCTCAAATATTTTTTCTAATTATATATATATATATATATCAATTTTCAGAAAATCAAAATCAATCAAACGGAAAGTTGAAACAGATATTCCCATTAAAAAATAGCATGTATATGATCAAATATTGATTAATATATTTTTTTTTTAGAAAACAAGTAATGTACCATATACAGAATCATCTAAAGTGCAATTAAAAGAAAGCAACAAGGATTTAAAAAACCCTAGAATTCTATAATTTTTTAATAATTATGCTTGTAGTAATTTTTTTAAATATTAGAAAATATCCTTGTCAAACTACAAGAAATCTGCTACATAGAAGGAATTTAATTTAAATTTTCTCATTTATTTTTACATTGCTTTAAAAATTATTGCAATTATTAATTTTTCATAATAAAGATTATATAAATAAATGATTATTATTTATTATTCACAGATAATATTTGTATAGCAAAGACTTTAGCATTCACTTGATTTAGATTTATCTTACTTTCTCAATTTTATGATTTCAAGTGACATGTCAGATTTAGTTCTTGTATTGGAATTATCAAGTGTGCCAACAAATACTTCTGCAAGTGAATATATTTTCTTGGGAGTTCTAATTAAGGGAAATCTACAAATTTCTACCACATAATCATCGACTTTATCATACTCCCACTGGCCCTCCATAAATTCTGGATCAATTTTTGATTCATTAAGAACCCAACAAAGTTCAAGATCATCCAAATCTTCCAAAGGTGTGAAATGAAATACTTTTATGAAATATTTTATAATTTCACCTGATAATTTGTCAATTTCATTTTGTTTTTGTTGATTTATAATTTTTCTGTATTGACTTATATGTTGATTAAGTAGTTGCTTACTACAAGTAATAAATTCGTGTTCTTTATTGTTGTTGTCAGTATTATTGTATCCTATTGTATACAATATATCAAAAACTCCTTTACGTATTTTTATTAATGAAGAAAGTTGTGATGATGATGATGATGACGATGTGGAGTCAAAACTGGAGGTGGTGGTGGTGGTAGAAAGTTGATCATGATTTCGATTTTTAACTAATTCGTTTGCTTTATTATATAATTCGTTTATTGATACATATAAATCATATTCAAGTGAAGAGTCTCTATGTAAATTCTGATATTTTGAATAATAACAATTTTTTCCAAGGTCTTTCAACAATTCAATTAATTTGTCAAAAACTGTTCTTTGTAAGATAGCTTTAATTAATGGTTTATTTTTTTGTATGTTTTTGACGCCAGACAAATTATATTTTATTAAAAGGTCATTTATATTGTCATAATTAATTTCTGCTATTGTAGTTCTTAAACTTGTAATGTAATTATAAATTTTATCTTGCAATAAAGAAAAATCTTGTGAAAATTGAGTTGATATCTGGTCTTTAAATATATATTTTGGTGATGGATTTGTTACTGTTGTTGTTGATGATGATGGTGATGTTGATGATGATGATAACTTTAAATTTTTTATAATCTGATTTTTATCCATAATTTGTTGATTTAACAATATTATTTTATTCGCACTGGCTATATTTTGTGATTCTAATTCAGTAATACGACCATTAAGATTGGCAAAAAAGCTTTTTATTGTATTTAACTGAACTACATAATTAAGATTGGTTTCAGTTAATTCCTCATTTTTAGCATTTTGTTTTAGTAGTTCCTCTTTGACTTCATCTAAATTACGAGTGGTGTTATTAATATTTGAAAGCAAATCACTATTTTTGGTTGATAGTTGTAAATTACTAACAGCAAGCTCTTTTATAATTCTTTTATTTTCAGAAATTGTTTTATCCTTCTCTTTAATTATAATATTATATTCGTTTCTGATTTGCAAGATTTCCTTTGATAAATTTTCCTTTTCTTCACTCAAAGTCAAAAATGTTTTACCATGTTTATAAATTTTTGTAAGATTCTCCAAGAAATTTCCTACAAACTCGGGGCTAAGCCCTTCTTCATTATTATTTCCGCTGTTGCTGTTGCTATCAATGTTATTACTACTATTACTATTATTACTACTATTACTATTATTACTGCTATTACTGCTATTACTATTATTATTACTAATGTCATTTATATTATTATTATTATTACTATTGTCACTTATATCATTATTATTATCATCATTTATATTGTTTTCTGGATCATCAATATCAGCTAAAGCTTCTAAATTTGGATTTATTACTAAAGGATCCTTCCGATTCTCATTCATTCTGTTCATAAAATGCTTTCTTCGACCCATATTACAAAAAAGTTGAACAAAATTTATTCCGTGTATGACCCGAGGATATTAATGTTATTATTATTATTATTAGTCACAGGACATGTCACATCAATTGATTTTCTATATGTGAAAATAAATTCGAAATTCGTGTCACATGAAGTTT